TGTGTATTATCTTGGTGTATTAGGGTCTTCGTCTCTTCTTTACGCTTTTGCTTCTGCTGCTGCTGCTGCTGCTCTTCCTGCGGCTCCCTTTTAAGGCGCAGCAAGACGCCGCTTGCTGCTGCTGCTGCTGCTGCTGTAGGTGCAGCTGCTCCTGCTGTTGTTGCAGCAGCAGCAGCAGCAGCAGCAGGAGCTTCTCCTAGTCTGCTAAGCAGCTGCTGCAAGGAGCTAAAAGAAGTTTTTGCCCTCCACTGCACTTGCCTGCAGCAGCAAAAAGAAAGAAATTAAAATGCAGTCAGTCAGTCAGCAGCAGCAGCAGCAGCAGCAGCAGCAGCAAATGCAGAGGCTGCAGCAGCAAATAAACAGCAGCAGCAGCAACACCAGCAGCACCAGAAAGAAATATACACAGAGCAGCAACACCAGCAGAAGCACCAGCAACTACAGCAGCAGCAGCAGCAGCAGTAGCAGCAATAGCAGCAGCAGCAGTAGCAGCAATAGCAGCGGCAGCAGCAGCAGCAGCACAGCGGGCGCCATCAAGCAGACAAAACAAAGACAAACAACTAAAGCAAATAAATAAATAAAATAAATAAAATAAATAAATAAACAAACAAATAAATAAATAAATAAATAAATTACTTTGTGAGGAGATGAACAGAGAAGCAGAGAGCTACAGACAAATCGAACGCCCGCTGCTGCGCTTCAGGGTGCAGACTCCTAAAGCTGCTGCTGCTGCTGCTGCTGCTGCTGTCGCTGCTGCTGCTGCTTCTGCTGTAAAGCAAGGGCCCTTGAGGGCCTCCTTTGCTGCAGTTAACATGAATGTAATGCTGCAGCGCAGCAGCAGCATCCTGCTGCTGCTGCTGCTGCTGCTGCAATGAGGAGCAGCCAGTGCTGCCGATGGTGTTTGCTGCTGCTGCATGCAGCAGACGCCGCAAGTCAAGTACTCCAAGACAAGGCCCACATACCACCTGCAGCAGCAGCAGCAGCAGCAGCAGCAGCAGCAGCAGCAGCAGCAGCAGCAAAGGCAGCAGCAGCAGACGGTGAAGCACAAATGTAATCATCCAGTGCTGCAGACGCTACAGCAAGAACCGCAACAGCAGCAGCAACGGCAGAAGCAGCAGCAGCAGCATCAACAACAACAACAACAACACCAACAACAACAACACCAGCAGCAGCAGCAACATCAGACGCGCCAGCAGCAACAGCAGCAGCAACAGCAGCAACAGCAGCAACAGCAGCAACAGCAGCGGGCCTACTTGAGGTAAGGGAAGCGATTTAATTTGTTTTGTAGGATTGAAGTGCGGCAGCAGACAGAGGCCCCACGTCAGTTGCTGCTGCTGCTCTGTTTCCTGCTGCTGCTGCTGCTGCTGCTGCTGCATGCGGGTTATTCCACAGACGCTGCAGGTTTGTGCTGCAGCAATTGCTTTCGTTGCTGCAGCAAGAAGATCAGCAGCAAAAGCCTCAAAGACCTTCGGGTTTGCTGCTGGTGGCTGCTGATTTATCGCAGCAAACAGATCCTCCGCCATGCTGCTGCTGCTGCTGCTGCTGCTGCTGCTGCTGCTTCTGCTGCTGCTGCTGCAGCAACCTGTAAGGTCGTTAACTGTAGTCAAAGGACTAACAAAAGCAGCAGCAGGAACGGGGTGAAGACGAGGAGAAGCTGCATGCAGCTGCAGCAAATACTCTTCTATGCTGCTGCTCACATCCAGCTTCCCCGTCTCCATCATTCTGCTGCTGCTGCTGCTGCTGCTGCTGCTGCTGCTGCTGTTGCTGCTGCCTCTCGCCACTTTTACGGCGTCAGCCGCCGTGGGGCCGCTCGGCTCCACCCCCATTTTCGCTGCAGCTGCTGCTGTTGCTGCTGCTGCTGTTGCTGCTACTGCTGCTGCTGCCTTGTTGATATTTTTATCTCCCTGCTGCTGCTGCTGTTGCTGCTGTTCTTCTTGATATGCGTGCTGCTTCTGCTCCTGCTGCTGCTGCTGCAGCAGCAGCAGTACTGCAGCGGATGTCCGTTATTCCCTGTGGCCCTGGGCTTGCTGCAGGAGCTGTTGAGCCTGTTGCAGCTGCTGCTGCTGCTGCTGCTGCTGCTGCTGCTACTGCGTCTATCTGGATAATAGCCTTCAGCTGCAGCAGCAAACAGCAAATAAACAAAAAGAAACAGCAACTAGTAACAGAAGACGCAGAGAAGGGGGCCCCACATCACTCATGCAGCGCCTTCGTACATGCAGCAACAGCAGCAGCAGCAGCTGCTGCTGCTGCTGCAGTAGCTGCAGCCCCGTTGACTGTTTGCATGACTAGCAGTTTGTTTGTTTTTTATCCTATTTTATTTTGTTTTATTTTATTTGTTTATTTTGTTGTGGTGAGGCTTCTTCATATATTAAAGCCGGCATACAATACTCCTCCATCTCGCTGCTGCTGCTGCTGCTGCTGCTGCTGTTGCTGCTGCTGTTGCTGTAGTGGCGGTGTTGCTGCTGCTGCTGCATGCTACAGGGAGGTGTCTTATCTGCAGGGTTGCTTCCCTTTGTTTGCTACTGCTGCAGCAGCAGCAGCTGCTGAGGCATCCGTGCTCCTGCTGCAGCAGCTGCTGCTGCTGTTGCTGCTGCTGTTGCTGCTGCTGGTTTAGTAAAGCGGAGTAAAGATGAATGGCTTTGAGCGTCTGCCCCAACGTGGGGTGGCGGGGGCACAGCAGCAGCAGCAGCAGCAGCCGAACCCTTTGCTGCAGCAGCTGCAGGCAGATATCCCTTCTCAGAGTAGCAGCAGCAGCAGCAGCAGCAACGACAGCAGCAGCAACAGCAGCAGGTTGCGGGAGTTTGCTGCAGGTTCTGTTATGAAAGAGTTGGCTGCTTACATGAGGGAGAAATGCTTGATTCAGCCGCAGCAGCTGCAGCAAAACGCAACAGCAGCAGCAGCAACAGCAGCAGCAGCAACAGCAGCAGCAGCAACAGCAGCAGCAGCAACAGCAGCAGCAGCAACAGCAGCAGCGGCAGCGCCCCCAACTGCCACCGCAGCAGCCTGCAGCAGCAGCAGCAACAGCGGCAGTAGCAGCAGCAGCAGCAGCAGGGAAGCTGTGAGGCGAGATCGTCCGCGTTTGAGGGTGTCGCTACAGCCGGATATTGAAGACAGCAGCAGCAGCAGCAACAGCAGCAGCAGCAGCAGCAGGAGGCTGAGAATGGGTGCGTCTTCATCATTAAAAAAAGACAACAGCAATGCACCCAGCAGCAGCAGCACCTGCAATAAAGCAGCAGCAGCAACAGCAGCAGCAGCAGCAGCAGCAGCAGGAGCAGAAGAAGAAGAGTCCGATGAAGAAGAACGTGCTGCTTCTTTATTTGCTGCTGAAGCAGAGTTGCTTGAGCTGCTGCAGGACGACAGCAGCGACACGCGAGATGCGAAGTGGGTCGCAAGCGAATTGTTAGTCGGAGACAAACAAACAGATGCAGCACTTTGCTGCCCTGGCTGCTTCGCTCCTATTGCTTACCAGTGTAAAAGGTATATTTGCTGCTGCTGCTGCTGCTGCTGCTGCTGCTGGTGCTGCTGCTCCTGGTGCTGCTGCTCCTGCTGGTGCTGGTGCTGCTGCTGTTGTTGTTGCTGCTGGTGCTGCTGCTGCTGCTGGTGCTGCTGCTGCTGGTGCTGCTGCTCCTGCTGGTGCTGGTGCTGCTGCTGTTGTTGTTGCTGCTGGTGCTGCTGCTGCTGTTGTTGCTGCTGGTGCTGCTGCTGCTGTTGTTGTTGCTGCTGGTGCTGCTGCTGCTGTTGTTGTTGCTGCTGGTGCTGCTGGTGCTGCTCCTGATGCTGCTGGTGCTGCTGCTTGTGCTGCTGGGGATGCTGCTTTTGTTGCTGCTGTTGCTGCAGCAATTGCTGCTGCGCTGCTTTTCGTAGACATCCTATTCCTGTCTCTCCTTCTTACTCTCCAGCCCTCAGGGTTTAGGGTTTAGGGTTTAGGGTTTAGGGTTTAGGGTTTAGGGTTTGTGGTTTCAGGGATGAGTACACGCGAGACCTCTACAGAGCTGTCACCGCCTACAGAGTAATCACAAGACCCATTCAGCAGCAGCAACAGCAGCAGCAGCAGCAAGTACAGATGCAGCAGCAAATGCAGCAGCAAATGCAACAGGAGCAGCAGCAGCAGCAGCAGCAGCAAGGAAATGTTTCTGAACTGGGTTTAATCCGTCACATCGCCGATCGCCTTGCTGCTGACCCCAATACCGAGCAGCAGCAGCAGCAGCAACAGCAGCAGCAGCAACAGCAACAGCAGCAGCAGCAGCAGCAGCAGCAGCAGCAGCAGGATGGAGAGGAGCCTTGCTTTGCGAGTGAAGTTTTGTGCGAGTGCTGCGGGGCCTTCCTTGGCTGGCGTGATGAAGAGGAGGTATATCATTTTACTCAAGTTATACCGGCAGAAGCATAACTCTAATGCTGCTGCTGCTGCTGCTGCCGTTGCTGCTGCTGCTGGTGCTGGTGCGGGTGCTGTAGCAGTAGTAGCAGTAGCAGCAGCAACAAGAACGGCAGCAGTACGACGTGTAGAGCTTTAGCTGCTGCTGCAGCAGCAACAACAACAGGGATTGTAGTGTAGGGATTGTAGCAGTAGCAGCAGCTGCTGCAGAAGCAAGAGACGTAGCAGCAGCAACAACAGCAGCAGCAGCAGTAGCAGCTGTTGCTGCTGCTGTGAAGGGTTTGATATGGATTTTTTCTGTGAAGAAGCCTTCATAATAACACATGCAAGAAACCCCTTAGGGTTTAGGGTCTAGGGTTTAGGGTTTAGGGTTTGCAAGGCTATTATTATTGTCCTCTATCGACAGCAGCAAATCGAAAGTTAAGAAATATAAACTTTTAAAGACTCTGCATGCATGCATGCACAGAGGTGAAGAAGGGGTTTGCTGAGGTGTATAGGCAGATAAGGCACCTGGGGAGGTATATTTGCTGCTGCAGCACCCCAGCAGCAGCTGCTGCTGCTAACACCTTTTACAGCTGCAGCAGTAGGTGCTGCTGCTGCTCCTGCAGCAGCAGCAGCAGCAGCAAGGGGA